ACTCCTCATGGAGATGGGTGGTGGGGCCCACGGAGAGAGGTGGTGGGGCTCACGGACATGGGAGGTAGACCTCATGGAGAGAGGTGGTGGGCCCCATGGAGAGAGGTGCTGGGCCCCACGGAGGGAGGTGGTGGGCCCCATGGACAGAGGTGCTGGGCCCCACGGAGGGAGGTGGTGGGCCCCATGGACAGAGGTGCTGGGCCCCACGGAGGGAGGTGGTGGGCCCCATGGACAGAGGTGCTGGGCCCCACGGAGGGAGGTGGTGGGCCCCATGGAGAGAGGTGGTGGGCCCCACGGACATGGGTGGAGGTTCCCTATGGAGAGGCTGGATGAGGACGGGAGGTGGAGGAGGGAGGGATGGATGTGGGGAAGAAGGGATGGGACCAGCACGGAGAAGGAGGGTGGGATGGGAGACCACGGCCGGAGGGATGGAGGAGAAGACCCGGAGAAGGAAGGAAGGAAGGATGGAGGAAGAACGGAGAAGGAGGGACCGGGGGGAGCATGGAGAAGATGGGATGAGCTGGGATCAAGGGGTGGAGGAAACCTGGAGATGGAGGGAAAGATGGAGGTCAGGGATGGAGGAAACCTGGAGAAAGAAGGATGGAGATGAAGGATGGAGGAAACCTGGAGAAGGAGGGCAGGTTGGAGGTCAGGGGTGGAGGAAACCTGGAAGAAACCTGGAGAAGGAAGGAAGGATGGACATCAGGGATGGAGGAAACCTGGAGAAGGAAGGATGGAGGTCAGGGACGGAGGAAACCTGGAGAAGGAAGGAAGGATGGAGATTGGGGATGAAGGGAACCTGGAGAAGGAAGGAAGGATGGAGGTCAGGGATGGAGGAAACCTGGAGAAGGAAGGAAGGATGGAGATTGGGGATGAAGGGAACCTGGAGAAGGAAGGAAGGATGGAGGTCAGGGATGGAGAAAACCTGGAGAAGGAAGGAAGGATGGAGGTCAGGGATGGATGAAACCCGGAGAAGGAGGATGGAGATCAAGGATGGAGGAAACCCAGAGAAGGGAGGAAGGATGGAGGTCAGGGATGGAGGAAACCCGGAGAAGGAAGAAGGAGATCAAGGGTGGAGGAAAGATGGAGGTCAGGGATGGAGGAAACCTGGAGAAGGAAGGACAGCTGGAAGTCAGGGATGGGTGGAAGGGTCAAAATTCAGGAAGGACGGAGATCCGGGACAAAGCAAACCAGAAGGAGGGAGGGACGGTAGAAGGAACGACCCTTCTCCTTCTCCTTCTCCTTCTCCTTCTCCTTCTCCTTCTCCTTCTCCTTCTCCTTCTCCTTCTCCTTCTCCTTCTCCTTCTCCTTCTCCTTCTCCTTCTCCTTCTCCTTCTCCTTCTCCTTCTCCTTCTCCTTCTCCTTCTCCTTCTCCTTCTCCTTCTCCTTCTCCTTCTCCTTCTCCTTCTCCTTCTCCTTCTCCTTCTCCTTCTCCTTCTCCTTCTCCTTCTTCTTCCAAACCACCACTACTTCTCCGCTGGGCAAAAAAAAAAAAACCCAAACCCCCAAACCCTACAAAACCAGTCCCAACTGGAGCGTCTTCTCCACCTCCGTGGTGGCGGTGGCGCCTCTCCGGTCCCCTCCCACGGGAAACTCGGGGGTTTTATAACGGCGTCGGGGCACTGCCCCGGTCCCACCCCGGAGGTTTAGAGTTGGAGGCGTCTTTTTCGCCCGAGATCGAAGACGCCAACTTGGGCGCCTCCTTCTTCGTTAATCCTTTCGGAGCGTTTCCTCGGGGGCACCGCCTCGGCCTTGCTTCACCGGTCGGGAGGCGGAGCCAAAGAGCCGATTGGTGGGTTGGTTTTCCTCTTCCATTGGTGGGGAGGAAGAAGACTGGGAGGAACTGGGAGAGGTGGAGGTTGGGGGGTGGG